TAAACAATACGTGTAAAGACACATATGGATGGCTTGATTTTGAGCTAAATACGCACCAATAAGATCGCGTTAATTATAACTCTTGCCGATATCGAATGGATATAAGTGAAGAGAGTCAAACCTGGACCTTCGACTCAGGATGGAATTTGTACCCCAGTGTTTAACAACCTCCCAACCAATAATGTTGACAACGGAGGAGACAGCTTCATTATCGTGACAGATATACGGGCGTGAGTCCTGGTATCCATGTACTCGTACAAAAGAAAACACGTGTCACTCGAAACGGACTGGTAAAAAAGCATAAGACCTTTATGACCATAAAATACGTAGGATTGAAGGTTCTGGCTTGTTAAAAAGCCATTGGTAAAAGCAGCCACGTTCGATATTCTCTTGGAAATAAAAATTTTCCGCTTCTGAAAGTGGAGTCATGAAGGGCAGAAGACAATGAACGTAAAACAACAACGAGTTCCTACAAATATGAAGCTTACAAGATGGCAGAGTTGTCTTTAACGTACACCGCAAGTGGTGCACGTTTTCAATTTTAGCTCACAGTCAGTCCGTCTAGAAATGAAAGAGTTGTCTAAGACTAAAAAAAGACACTATAATATAAATGTTTAGGCATCGCTTCGAACCCGGGCCGCAGGAACTGAAATAAAGGAAAAGAGGGTTGAAATTATCTCACATCGGAATCCTTTCGTGTATCATAGATACCGCAATAAAAGAAATTTTATGCTCGAACAAACTGAGAGCGGTTGCGAGAAACAAACGATGCGCTGCTTCGACCGCCCACACGGCTGGTGTTGCTTTCCTCTTCCTGTTGACGGAACCTATTAACCCAAATATGGGAATAAGGGAGCGATAGGTCAATATAAGCGAGAAGTTACTGGCCGCTGCCTTGCCTTGTCTTCTGAAATCCGATACTTATCATGTCCTTATCTCGTTTATCGTCAGTACAAACACTGCGATAACCGCATAGACTTCCACTAAAGTGCTGTATTTGTGACATGCTAGACTAGTATATAAGTAAGTCGTCTCATTTACTTATAAATTAATGGATGGTATGTGTGATGGATGTCATCTATACCTGGTCGGATCTTCCAAGGAGTTCCCTGAGTCGATCCACCTCTGATTTGTCGAGTTTGGAGGGCGGTCGAGGGGGCAGGCCTTGTTCGATTTGTGAACGAGCTTGCGATAACGCATTTTGAAGTGACTCACGCTCCTGTGCAAATTGACATTTTATTACGATTATCCATTGACTAGCTCATATATTTGGAAAAGGTAAGAGTGACACGGAGCTATAAATACGCAAGCAGTGTTCATGTTCAAGAGAGGTAGCAAATGCAATTTTTATAGAAGACGTAGACTCTTCCATAACACAGACTCACACCAATGTGGATTACTTAGATTGGCATAAATGATTGCGTGTTCCAATAAATAGTGTAAAATTTTTAGTAAAACTTACTATGTTGACATGGTTTGCCAATATCTATTCTAGTGTCATTAGGTAAGAACTGTACTAGGCCGACAAGTACGTAGGTTTTCTTTCCAATCGTCAACTATGCATCGAATTATAAATTCGGGAAATAGATGATATGATGTTGACGACGATTGATTGCTGTTATTAAATTACTTTTTGCTATTGTTTTTACCTTCTGCAGCCGGGTGAGTTCGGTCTGCTGCCTCTCTAGCCGGTCCTTCAGCCTTTCGTTGTCCACGAACAACCTCTCGATTTCCTGTTTCTGTCGTTGTTCAACAGAGGAAAATGCCGACGTTCGGCCCGCGCTGGCCTCCAACTCGCATCTCAGCCGTTCCATTTCCAGTTGCTGCGATGAACGCTGCTCCTGCAGTTTCTTGATTTCTGCACGAGCGTTTTCGTACCTGGTATTAAAAGGCAGTTAGAGTAATTAATTTGCGTTAAAATTTTCAATGCTTCAGAACGCGTGACATTTTGTTGTTATATACAAATATATGCTGGGTGTTGTAACGTTAGTAATGCACAAAATATGAATCAATCAATGGAATGTAGAAATAGTATGTAGAAATATGTATTTAATACGTTAGTAATAACGTAGATTAGCACTACGGTCATAACGGTAATGATTATCGTAACTGTAACTTTTGCCTTCATATATTAGCCCTAAAGTATACAGTTAACTGCATCCAACAGAATTGCCACATCGGTTACGAGCAGTGCCTGTACCAAAAATTAGGTGAAAATCATTTAGATGACATAATCAAATTCCATGGATTTACTCACCTATCTCTCGCCTTTTCAATTTCGAGGTAGAGACGTTCCATTTCGGCCTGTTGGGACTTCCTCTCCTCAGCGGTCAACCCACGATCACCCACCGCACGCTCCAACTCACTTCTCAGCCTAAAAAAAATAAGTGTTGACATTAAAACTACAATTTAATAAAACGCTTTAAATGAATCAAGTTTATCTAAGACAGGCGCACTTTTACCGGTCTTGAAGAAAAATGACTATGATTAATCTGACGAAAGCCTTTAAAAAGGTTAGCAAGTAGAATCAAAGGCAGTTCTCGTGCCTATTAACAAGGTCTGTCTTAAGATAAACTTTTTAGCAACTTACACTCTCTGTGGTACTTGTGGTAGTTCTTTATATAGTATCATGGAACCCCATCTCATACGTGAGCAAAGCTTCCAGACAAGTCGTGATTCTTTGTTGGAGTATGATCTAGTGTTTAAATCAGTTTTGTTGCAATTAATATAATCATTATTTATTACTCTGTATAAATAATCGCAGTCCGTCAACAAAGGGTTTTCAGCTTGGGTGCAAACAGACATGGTTTTCTATAACTGAGTTTCTGTGTCAGTACCTAGGTCAGTCTCAATGAGTTTATCTTGGGTTTCTCCAGTAAATCTACGAAACGGATGGCAACCATGAAAGCAGCTATTAACCGTAATGATGATTCCTCATTGCATTATTGTTATGCTATACTAATTCAGTGTTCACTCAAACTAAAGTGATTTTTGTTAGGAAAGTTACTAGCAGGAACTCAATTTCAAGCCCGTCACAACTTCGTCATTAGATGTCGCTTATCTTTTGCTATTGTTACTAACTAACATAAATCGCATAGCCGTTTTAATCGTGGCCGTTTTAAGTGGAATACGCAGAGCCAGGATGAACGCACCGCGTCAAAAATAAGGCAGTGGTTTCCTGGCACCCCTTTGCACGCCCCATCGGATAGTGAGGATGATGGTATCCAGAAAATAAGTTTGGCCACAGCCTGTATCAATGTCCTACAATGAAACTCATTACAAAAGATTGCGCCGGATCCACGTAGCCTAGAACAATATGTAAAGTCGCCTTTTTTAAATATCATAAGCTTTTTATTAAAGCATTTTAGGAGACGCCTAGAAGACAAGTCGGTTCAATGATTACTCTTAAAGTAATTAAATTTCTTGACATTGTTGGTTTTTATCGACAGCTGTAATATAACACACATTCACGTGTCTTTGTGTGTTCGATCATCAGTGATCCTACACATCGCTACTGTTGCACGTGTCAGGGCTCAAGTGGACACAGACATTGCAATCTGCAGTACTTACTGAAAGCCTCTTGTAGAGCGATCCCATACAACAGACGAATTACAAACAATAAACAAAACAAGGGTCAACTTTACAGCAGCGCATTTCTTTACTCATTTTTGGTCTTTCTTTATTTTTGTTCGCCTAATCAGACCCAACTATATTCTTGTATGACAAAAATATTTTTCAATAACCTTAGAAATCACATGTCTCCATATTTGATCATACGTGTCGTATAATAAGTACATGCCATTAAGCATATCAGAGTCTAGACAAATATTCTTTCAATGAGTATATAAAAAGAGCACCTGAACCCGAAAACTAACCACTATTGTGCCCTTCATTTCGTTTCTGCTTACGCTCAACCAAAGCGCTTCATTTTATTATGACATTTTATTGTTTATTTGTGAGCTCGATTTTTAGAAGTACGTCTTTCACTGTAACGTTGTCAGCTACATTTTGGGTTTGTAAACTTCCGGCTTTTTTCGTTCGTGGTTATCCGCGACAACCCCATAGGTATTTCTATCCGGATTTTACGGTCGCTAGTACAACCTTTATTAGCTTACTTACAATCGAATCATATTGTCGAGGAAAGTAGTCATTTATACATAATAAGATTATTATTAATATGATGAAACAAAACTAGGTCGACATGATCTCGGTAGTGGTCGCCCGTACAAGCTGACGTAAATCAATGTTATAATGTGCAACCAGCAAGCCAACGAGAATTGACTCAAGAAACGCTATTATCAGACGATATCTGGCATCCGCATCAATAGAGCTGGTGTCCGGGAAGTGCCCAGGTCAGAAGACGGAGTCAAAAGCTATATATATATATATATATATATATATAAACTTACTAGAGTAAGTTACTAACCAAACGCAGTGACAGCCAGTGTAACAAAAATGAATTGTCAGATAAAACACGCAATTCGTGTGCACGTAGCCGAAAATACACAACGAAACTGTGTAAAATGTGCTATACTTACTAAAGTAAGTTATTAGTGTCTATAGAGCAGAAACGTTTGCAATGTAACCATTAGTATTTTATTATAGTATTTTTCAAAAACTAGGTGACAAAACTATCACCTAACAATGTCTATATAATTCACTTCAAAGATGTAAAAAAATAACGCACATTATTATTGTCAAAATGTTAAGACCTACCTGTTTTCAGGTGGGGACAATATTCGTTGAATTTGAGCCAGCACCGAACGTTCAATTAAAAATATAATCAAAATTATAAAAAGAAAAAAAATCTAATAAAACCAAGATTTTCAGTACAAAGGAAACCTTTTTCTATCATTTTGTTTCTGATATTATAACATGAAACAACTTCATAAATAATAAATAAAAGTATTTTTACCTTAGGAGATCCTCTTGTGCCTTGTCTCTTTGCGTGCTCATTTTCTCGACGTCTTGCTGCGCTCTCTCGAGTTTATCAGTAACCTTCTCGAGGTCGATGCGCAAGCGCTCGATTTCGCCTTGGTTCTTATCAATCGTCGTTTGCATCTGCTTGATTTGACGCTCTGCACGATCCAGCTCCGCCTCAAGCCTAAACGCATAGTCAACATACAAAATCATTATCCAGTGACGCCGTATTGTAACTTTGTATTGTAATAATGTCTGTAATGAGAACGGCCCAAAGGTGCAGGCTTTTTGAGATTCAACATAAATAGACGCACAAAATGGCCATTAGTAGGATTGTCCAAATGGATTAATTCGACAACATGTGTGTCATTTACACATGCCGATATATAAAGAAAATTATTTAATCGGTTTACGTGAACTAACCTGTGGTTTTCTTCCTCAAAATGATCTTTATCGACAGTGATCTTTCGAATGTCATTTTGATACTTCTCCATCTTCTCATATGCTGCTTCTAACTCGAGTTGAGTCTGGGCGAGCTCGTCTTGCGCCTTGCTGTTTCGCTGCGCCTTCTCGTACTCGAGTGTAATGCGATCAAGTTCCTGCTGCAAATGGTCCCGGTCTGCCTGGACCTTTCGCATATCTTGTGCTAGCTTGTCGTGACGTTCCTTGTAGAGTTCGGCGTCGACCATGGCCCTGTCCAAATCCTGCCGATACTGGTCTTCAGTGTCCTTGAGCTTGGCCAGTTGAGCGTTGGTTCTCATGTACATTTCTTTCACGCCTTCAAACTCGTCCATAGCCCGTTTGTGCTCGTCCTTGGTCTTACTAAGCACCTGTCCACAGCGGTCATGTTCAACCACAAGCCGGTCCATATCCTTCTGTAGCTGTTCATGCCGAGTCTGCATCTTGTAGACGTCGGCCTGAACGCGGTCCACTTTCTCCAGTGCCGTTTGGGCCTCGGCCCGCGCAACTTCCTTGTCCTGGAGGGCCTTATCTAGAAGTGTCTGTGCTTTCTCATACTTCTCTCTGACGAGGCGGAGGTCACCAGAGGCCGCCTCTGCCTCTCGTTGGTACCGATCGATCTGAAGGAAGCTCTTGTCGTGACGCTCTTTAAGCATCTCAAACTCGGCTATGGCGGCGTCCCGCTCTTTGCCAGTCTTTATCAATTGACCTTGCAACGCTTCCGCCTTTTCTTTATGGCTGTCCATGTCGGCGACTGCCAGATCGCGCTCCTTCTGAAGTCTTACTAGCGATGAGTTCAAACGCTCGTATTTCTCTTTGAATGCCTCCTTCTCGGTCAGGGCCATGTCGCACTCTTTCTGCAGCCGTTGGACTTGAACCTGATGGATATGATCGAATAAAAGAGAACAAGTTTAACAGCAGCCACGCCCGCTGGATAAGGTCGTGTCAATAACGGTTCACAATAGGCTAGCTTGTATTTGCTGGTGTCATTTCTTTCACCGCCATATACAGCACATCACAAATGGAAGAAATCCTTAGAAAGCATGAAAACTAAGAAATGAAAAATTAATTTATTGCCGGACATATAGACCCAACGAGCACAGCGCTATAAATAGTGATCAACTCACCTGCAGTGAATTGACTTGCGACTGAAGGGTTTCAGCTTCACCTTGCGCTCTCTCTCGATCAGTTTGGTAGCGGCGAAGCTCTGTGCTTACTTTATCTAATTTTTCTTGCAATCTGCGTAATCATGGAGCAAAGGACGAAAAACAACGAAAAGCGAAAACATATCTAATAAGCTTCTCTTCTTGAGGACAGATATATTTTTTACGTTTACTAATTGCGATTGTCGAAGAGCTACTAGTTTGTAATACAAATTAAGTATAAATGTTTGACACGGAACTTCATTTCCATTCACGGATTTCAAATATGAATTACGCCACAGCGTAATAGTGGCTAGTACTACGAGCATAGTCCCCTTTGAAAAATTCGGTTATTTTTTAGTGTTCCCTTACAGGAGATCATGCATGTATTCTAGGTTTATAAATATAGTGTAATTTATTCAATTTATAATTCCGTTTTATGTTTACTCGAATGTGTCTTGTTTTTAAATTTGAGTACAACTTCTTGAAGTGTTATTTTCTTGTGGGCTTTGTACTTTTTCGAAGTAAGAAGCGGCAACGAATTCAAGCACGGTTTCTAGGAACATCGTCCATGAGGCGTGTACCCATGGCTTCCTTACCTTCGTTTAAGATAAATAATACCACAGACACCGTTTTTGGTTTCTATTTGTTAAATTTTGCTGGAGTGGCACGATTTGCGGGGTGGAACAAATACGATTATTGGAAAATCTGTGGTGAATGACAGAGGAATAAGTCTTTGATGTCAGAGGTTCTGCAAACGAACGGTTTCGCTTCCTGCGATGTGACAAAAGGGCGTCAGCCTATCCTGTGATAAATGCAACAGAGTACTCCATGCTGCATGATGCCGAACAACAGCTGTCAAGACAAAGCAGCTGGCGGACTCAGCGGAATGATTGAGTCGTTTGTTGGAATAAACAGGGCGACTGGGCGAATTATGAAACGTATACTACTCATACTATGCCGCTGAAACGCGATGTCAAAGCGTTCACAGCATTTTTACTGGGCCGTATTGAAGCTTCAAATAGTAAAGAGGAAATTGTACAAAGCAAATAGAACGCGTCTTTCAACCGCAGCCCCGACGGATAAGGGCATGAATATATTTAAATAGCAGGAAATGATCGTGTAGCGCCCTGTCGACAAAGACAGTGCTGCTTGTAAGCAATGATATTGTCGACCATTTTAGAGCGACTTTGCAACAACTTATGCCCCGGAAAGTCCCCATTGCGTTACGTGCAGCCGCTAAAATAAATATAGGTAGTGTGATGCCCAACACAGACGAGCATTTCGATATTTCGAATCTCCCGGTGACCATCTTTCCATAAACAGGCTATCTCAAGTACATGGAATTCAAGAAAGATTAATTAATAGCAGAACCTGGGTTTCTACGATACTAAAGAGCTACATTTGGAATCAGAGTTTCATGAGCTATATACCTTCCTTTTCGAATCGAGCTGTGAGGCCGCTCTTGCTGAAAGGGCAGCTCCAAAGGGTGTGCCTTTCACAGTCGCGCCTCTGTCAATCATCCAGCGTCAAGTCGTTCAGAAGAGCCGGCACAGAGATAAAGGTAATATATATA